TGATCTGGCCCCTGCCACCTTCCAATCTCATCTTTACGGTTATTCTATATTAATTTTATTTCCAGACCACTTTCTTTTCTGTGTTCCTTCACAATCTACAGATACATTTTTCTCTCTCTGGAATGTCCTTATAACTCTTCTGCTGCTTGCTAACCTCCTACTCATCCTGACTACTCTGCTGTAATATCTCCATCATGATGAAGTAGTTTAGCACACTGGTAAAGGGCAGAAACACGTCGTTAGCGAAGAGTCTAGCAAATTGAGCATTTACTAAGTGTGTTAGCTGGTACCCCGTGACACCCCACAAACACTTTGCTACCTACCCCCAAGCTAACCTCCTTCACAGTCCCTTGCATTCCCCGGGGGAGAGCAGTTACAACCCTGCTGTCATGACTCACTTCCATATTTGTTTCTCCTACTATAATATGAGCCCTTGAAAGACAGAGACCACATTCCAGTCACCTCTTGTCCAGCACCTAGAATCAGATGTTTCTTGATCACATAAAGCACTGAAGAACTTAGTTGTTATTTCTAAAATCAATCATTTTACTTTTAAAGATAAACAAGGAGTCACTGTCAGCCTTGTTAACTCTAACTCTGAAAATGTCTGAGAATTATAGTTAGTAAAAAAGTGTTTTAGCCTTGAACTCATTTATAAATGAACTGGCAATTGGGATCTTTTTGAGAGATAATTTAGAAGCTGGGAAAAGTAACTTTGGTTCTTTATGGCTCAAATTTAGGGTACTTGTGAAGGAATAGATGAATTTAGAATGTTGGGGCTAGGACTTAGAAGTTTGGTCTTTATCCTGTGGATAAAGGTTTTTTTTTGTTTTTGTTTTGTTATGTGGATAAAGTTTTTAAAAGGAGGGGAGCACAGTGATCTAGCATCAGGGCACTGTCTAAGACAGATGGAATTATGAAAAGTGTCTTGAGGTCAGAATGGGTTCAAAACTGAGCCTGACCTGTTAATTAGGAGAATTACATTTAATAAACAATTTGACCGTTCAGCATCTTGGCTTCTTCAGCCTTAGAGGAGGACGGCAGTGGTAGTCTTAGGGTTGTTATGAAGAGAGGCAAAACAGCATAGCGGTCAAGAACATGAGTCCTGAAAACAGACTATCATGGGTTCGAATTCTCCCTGTGCCATTTATTAGCTGTGTGACATTGACTAAGTTACTAAACCTCTCTGCACCTCGGTTTCCTTATCTTTAAAGAAAGGGTACCCTTAGTACCTACCAAAAAGGGTTATTGTGAGGATTTAATGAATTTTCCAAGTAGAGGGGAAATGGAGAGAGCAGCTGTGCTGGGATGAATGACTGCTAGCATGGTAAAAGCCAAGACACATATTTGAAGTCTGCCATGATACTTTCTTCCCCCTAAAATCTCAAGAGGGTAAAATTATTTTTTTTTTTTAAGATTTTATTTATTTGACAGAGAGAGAGCAGGAACACAAGCAGGGGGAGTGGCAGGCAGAGGGAGAAGCAGGCTCCGCGCCGAGCAGGGAGCCCGATGCGGGGCTCGATCCCAGGACCCTGGGATCATGACCTGAGCCGAAGACAGATGCTTAACGACTGAGCCACCCAGGTGCCCCAAGAGGGTAAAATTATTTGTAAATTTGTTCAATGTTGCTAGACATTTGTCTTGTGTGTTTTATGAGTCATTCTGAGAGCATCTCTCAGCAGTATATAGAAACAAACTAGCTATGTCTTAATGATGCAAATTGGATGATTATTTCCTTGAAAGCCATGCTGACAAGTGTGGCACTGTGAACCCTCATTAGTTTTGCAGTTGGTAAACCTTCAGTTGAACTTTCCAGGCTTTGTTCTTGTGCCACCCTAAGCAGGCACAGGTTCTGGTCTTCTACCATATGAAACCTAGAAATTGCTCAACAAAACAGGAGAAGCAGCTGTAATTTTTCACTCTTTCCCCCAGTAAGCCAGCAATCATGAATTTCCCACAATTATAAGGAAAAGTCTAACTTACTCCATGAATCCTGCCCCCATGAATGCTCCTGATTATTAATGCACCCTGTCCTTGGGGCAATGTGTCTATCCTATGACAATGTGAAGTCCAAGTGTCAGCTCAGCTCTCTCTCCACGTACCTACTTTGTAAAGCGGGGCAGCTGGGAAGGCTTTGATATTTTTTGTCCATTGCTGCCTTGTTGGAGGTGAAGGACCTACTCTACTCCCTGCTTCTGCCACTCTTCAGACCCTCCACCATGTATATTTTCAAATAATGCTTCTTTGATATGTATTTTTTAAGAATTACAGTGATCCATTTATGAGACAAAAGCAGTCATCACTTACTCCGTTCTCTGTGGCAGTCCTTCCCTTTGCTGTCTCTGAGTTGGTTCAGTCATGCTTCCCAGTACCCCCTCTCTTTCTGTAGAGAGAAATGAAGCAGGACCCCAAGAACAGGGTGAAGGTGCCAGTCAGGGACCACATTACTGGATGCCTGAAAGGCCAAGGCCACACACTTGGGAAAAGCCTTGCAGTCTTGGTAAGAGAAGAATGATTCTATTGTAACTGTCATTTGATCAGGACTGGGCTGGAGTGGAGGGGCAGGTGGGGTGTCCCTCCAGCCTCAGAAAAATGTGGGAAAGATGTTAGGGTTCAAAGCTGACGGCCAAGAAAAAATTCTTAAGACATCTTTGGTGCTAAAAGGTGATTTTATTAAAGCACGGGGACAGGACCCGTGGGCAGAAAGGGCTGCAATGGGGTCATGAGGAGTGGCCCATTATATACTTTCAAGTTGAAAGGGGATTAGGGATAGTGTAAGTCTCTAGGGCACTATGGAAGCAAGGTTTCCAGGACTTTGAGGGGGCTAGCTATTGTTGAGAAAAGGTCATTTTTTACCATCTAATAAAACCTTAGTCATGAGACCCTTCAGATGCATATCGGTGGGCCATAGGCTTGGGAGACAATTGCCAACATGTATCTTGGGGGGTTTAGAGATAAAGGACATTTCTTTTTTTTTTTTTTAAGATTTTATTTATTTATTTGACAGAGAGAGAGACAGTGAGAGAGGGAATACAAGCAGGGGGAGTGGGAAAGGGAGAAGCAGGCTTCCCGCCGAGCAGGGAGCCCGATGCGGGGCTCGATCCCAGGACCCTGAGATCATGACCTGAGCCGAAGGCAGTCACTTAACCAACTGAGCCACCCAGGTGCCCCGAGATAAAGGAAATTTCTAAAAGAATTTTTATATGTTAAAGTAGACTTACAGGACCCTGGGGGTCCGGCTAAATTTGCCTTTTGCCCTGAGCAAAGTATTAACATGGAGGCAGTTGAGTTCCTAGAGGAATGTCACTCTGCCTCTGTCAAGGACTTGTCCATGTGCTGTAAGTAGTAGGGAAATTTAATAACTTCTCTTCTGCCTTTGTTTCCCACGTCAAGAACTGGGGGTAGAGTCTTAGCATGGAACAGCTGGAAAGGTATCCAGCCATTTCTTTTGATAGACAAGGATGCTGGAGCCCAGGGAGAGGAAGTGTTGCAAGGGTCATATTGCACACAAGCGACAGAGCCAGCAGTCCCAATGCCCACTGCTGTGCTTGTTTCTTTACATCCCACCTTTAGATAATACAGACAGCCTCAGATTTGAGAGCCACTAAAAACATGGCAGTGGTTATTCTTTTCAGAGAAAAAGAGATCACAGATCTGAAAATGTAGTATCCTTGGGCACTGTTTTACATTACACAGATTTTCACTAAAAAGTGTTTATTGTGACAACCCTAATTAGAGTATGTTTGGATGTCTGGCCTTGCATTAGACACTTGTTAAATGAGAACCAAAAGTTAAAATCCACGTCAAGAATCATCCATGCATCCTCCTAATCTACCATCCTACCCTCACTTCTAGCCACACCTAATTCCTCTGTTTTCCCCTGGCAATATTTTCTTCTGTTTCTACTTTAGCATGCGCTGCTTCCTCTGCCTAGAATTCTTTCTTCTTCATTGTTCTACTAGGTTTCTCTGTGTAATCTTTCTTTTCCACTTCTAGTCCCATTGGCTTCTGCATTTGTTACATTCTGGCACTCAGTGGACTTCAGTTACTTGGATGTAACACTGTCTCCTTAACCAGTAGTGATCCTAGTATTGTTCCAATCCTAACAGAGCGCTGGGCAACAGCGCTTCTCCCATAATTTTACAGAATTAGATATAAAAATGAGATCAAAGCAAAGGAATGGTGAACACAGGATTCGCTATGTGGGTTACTTCTGATAGGAGAGGCTGACTTTTGTTTGGATGGTGTGTTTGTGGGTTCTTATTGTGTATTCAAAAATAATAAAGATTCTATATTACTAAAGCACAGTAACCAGAAATTACTCACATGAATGAGAAGTTTGACCTAATTGGCATCCAAATCTTCCATTATTTGGAAAGACATTCTTTTCAAATGCTTTCTGTGTGTTACTTTACAATGGTTGCTTTTTGACCTTCAACCGTCCACTTTCCCTGCATTGATAGATGTCTGACGCTGAAATGGGCAACTAAAGGTCAACCCCCTTTCCCTCCCGTGGGCCTGTTCTCTGCACTGGAACTCGTGGGTCCTTAGCCATTTGTTTTGGGTGTGAGCAGTTTGCTTCCTTCCGTTTCAGCAGAAACAATCAATATCCATCGCATTAAAATAATCACCACAGCCAAAGAGCATGTATGTATTCAGCGCCGAAATACGCGCAAGCATCAAGGACGAGCATTTAACAAGGCAACAGCGGGTACTTCATCTCACGAGTGACTGGTGCCCTTTCCGAAGAGAGGCTTAGGCCGCGGAAGGGCCCGGGCCCCACCCCCCGACCGCTGTGAGCCCACCTCCCCTCGCCCCCGCGCGCTCCCTCCGCCGCCACGCCGCCGCGACCACGCCCCCTTCCCCGCCTGTAGGCCGTAGCCGCGCCAGCCCACGTGGGCCCGGAAGCCGCGCTCGGCCGTTCGAACGCGGTCCCCCGCCGGCCCGGGCCAATGGGCGGGGCGCACCTCGAGTCTCCACCCCCGCCGTCGAGGACGTCACTGAACGCGAGGGCGAGCGGGGCGGAGGGGCGGAGGGGCGGAGGGGCGGCCTAGGCCTCCGCCCCCAGAGGTCAGCTCGCTGCTAGTCCTTGCGCCGAGGATAACCTCGTTAGGTCTTATCGCTGTCGCCGCCTTTGTCTCTGCAGCATGGCTTTCGTAACCCGGCAGTTCGTGCGCTCTGTGTCCTCCTCGTCCACTGCCTCGGCCTCGGCGAAGAAAATCATCGTCAAGCACGTGACGGTTATCGGCGGCGGGCTGATGGGCGCCGGCATCGCCCAGGTGAGCCGCGGGGCGGGCAGCGTACCCCGCTCGATTTGCTGCGCACGCTTCCATGCAGGCGCTGGCCAGCCGAGAGCGGCGTGGGTGTCCCGCCGGGAGGCCAGCGTCCGCGGGAAACCGGGGGAAATGCCACCCCGCCCCTCACCCGTGCAGTTGAAAAGCCTCGAGTCTGGGCCTGACTCTCCTCCGCTCCCCCGAAAAACGAATGTCCTTGGATTGAGCCTGAGGTTCTAAATTCCAGCCTCCCGCAGGGTCCGATGTAGGCCCCGTGGAAAGTGTTTCTGAATGGACTTTGGAATCGGGCCGTGCAGAGAGGATAGTATTATATGTACACAGTATTGAGGAATAACTTGTGCGCTTGCTGCTGGGCTTAGACCGAATTTGCTTCCAGAGACCTGGACTGCGATCAGTTAGTTTTGTTTGTAATCAGTTTCTTAATAATTCTACAGTCTTTGTCGGAGCCGTTTTCTGCTCTTCTAAATGATCCCTGTTCCCCGCCCTCGACATGTGTTTCCTTTGTGGGTTACAAAGAATAATAATAGTCATCCTTTTGGTAGCACTTTGTAAGGTTACCCAATCGTAGCTTGTGAGGCCCTGGGACGCCTCCAACTGCAGGCGCGGTGGCTAGGCAACTTTGACCTATTACCCTTTTTTGCAGAAAACAGCGCGGTTTCAGCGCGGTTTAGGTTCTGGGGAGAATGGGAGTAGAGTGGCTGAGGGCCCAGGAAGACTTCAGGACTCTGTCCTGTTCCACCTGAGCTATGGTACGGGCTCAGTTGTGTAACTGATTACCTGGATACTGTGATACTTGTATGTATGTATGTATGTATGTATGTATTTTTAGCGGTTACATTCCAGCTTATATTGGAGAACTGATTTTCTTAGCTGACTTTATTCTTAGCGTTCCAGCCCTTTGCAACTTGTATTGTTGAGGACGGAGGCAGTTACCAAGTTTTTCTTAAGGGAGTACTGGAGTGCAGTGGCTACAGTCAAGAAGGTTTAATTTTTTCAGTGTCTATCTGCAACCAAGTACACACGGGCGCCTGGGTGGTTCAGGCGGTTAAGTCAGACTCTTGATTTTGACTCTTGATTTTGTCTCAGGTTATGATCTCAGGATTCTTTCTCCCTCTCCCTTTGCCCCTCCTCCCTCCCTTTCTCCCTCTCTCTAAAAAAAATCCTTTATTATTACTATATATCTTAATTCTCCCTCCCTGCAGATTTTTTTTGCCGCATATTTAATTGCATTTTCTCTTAAAATCAGTATTTTTAAAAATGTTTTTATCCATCTGACTTCTTACAGTCTCATTATTTTTCTTCTGAGATCATGTTTTTGGACATACGTTGCCCTTTTTGTTGTATGGATACGCTGGCTGCTAGGTTATGGTATTCCTGTAATCTGTTACATGTGAGGAGGAGTAAGTCCCTTTAACCTAAAAGTTCCACGCGTTATACTACATGATACTCAGAGCTTAGCTTGAGCGCACTTACGTTCTTCCTGCTCCACCAGAATCTCCCAAGGCTGTGAGAGTGAGATTTCTTATGGGCAGGTGTAAAATAATGTATTAGCTTAAAAACACTTAAAGAGCGTCTTGGTGACAAGTTATTAGGGCTTTAGCCTCCAATAACAGTGTAGGAAATGGACAGTACCTTGAAGACCTCAGTGGAAGAGGATTAGAAACTATGTAGAAAGCATCACCTCAACTTTTGTACAAAATGGGATTGCTCAGTTCTTGGGATGCTGCATCCATTATTAGATACCATGAAAAATTTGGGGTGTTATGTTGCATGAAAAGGCACTGAGGTAGCACCTAAAATTGTGGGTATGGTAATGGAGCATTCACTTGAGAAAGGAGTGGGGAGAAATAACTGACATTGGTGGGAACACATACTTGTGGGTCAAATCCCTGAGTAAGTGGAGCAAGGAGCGCCTTTTCAGAGTTTAGGGGGAATATTTACCGCACTAGTTGGAAACATAATGGAATTGTCATTCTGAACGTTGATAAACACCAGAAGTCTAGGGGTGCCTGGCTGGCTTGGTCAGCGGAGCAGGACTCTTGATCTCGGGGTTGTGAGTTCGAGCCCCACGTTCGGTGTGGGGCTCAGAAAAAAAATACCAGAAGTCTAAGTAGTGGACATTCATAAGGAACATAGTTCCATTCTTATATAACAGGGTTTATTTTTTATTTTTTAAAAGATTTTATTTATTTATTTGAGAGAAAGAAACTGAGAGAGAGAG